AATTACTTTGTGTAAGAAAGAGAATGTTTAAAAATGTTTCAACATCTTTGTTTTTCCCATTAGCCTCACTTGGATCATGGTAAAAATGTAAACTTCAGAGACCAAAAGTTCTTAGGCTACTTTAACTCTGTGTGAGTCGCTATTCCACGTAGAGTTCAGTGTCTTTCTCCTATTCCTGTACTTGCTCATGGTCTATTACAAAGTTTACCAGTCACTGACCAATACTTCTGTTCTGGCATCATAAATGGGCATGGCCTTTTCTGCTCAGTGCTTGTGTACGTAGGCGCTGTCAGAATGGCTAAAGAAGGCAGCAAGTACTAACGCTGCAGCTACTAGAAGCTCTGCAGCTATAGTGAAGCAGCTGAGTAAGAAAGAGTTACCAGTCTCGTGAGTAAACAGCTAGAAAATGTTTCCACAGGAAGAGCTTCATAATCTGGCTTGGACTGTTTCTCTGCAGAAGCAGTTTCAAGGGCATAGTTCTATCTAAACAGTATCTAATGATCCACACATTACATTAATATTTGTTACGGTTTTGTTATTGCAACTTAGAGATCTGAACTGAAAATCTGATGAAGATGTTCTTTTATTTTGTATATTCCTGGACATTATATGACAATAGCGGCAGAGATTCAAACAATTCATTACTTGTGATAACGCTTTTACTGGTACTAATAAAAGGACAAATAAATTGACTTTTAAAATGCACAAAGTCCAAAAGAAAACGCAAATTCAATAACTAATATAAAACTCAGTAAAAACATCTGAGTTGATGTCACTCTGGCAGATTAGCTCAGATGATACAAACATATTGCTGTTTTTCTCTGCAATTGTACATAGAAAACTTTTAAGATTCTACAAATGTGTTAGCAAGGGAAGAGTTAATCCTTTAAGAACAAAAGTTTCATCCATAATAATGTTTTGTTTAAACTTTAACTTGTGTATACCCGAAATTGGACTTGCCCTCACAAATACAATTCTACATGTAAAGAGCATATTGTATAAACAATTCTTTATTAGCCAAACTGACCATTTTATAGAAACAAGCCAAGCTATATCTACATATACATGTATGTTTGTGTTTGCATACACACACACACACACACACACACGTATGAAAGTGTTCCCAGAATTGCTACTGGAAGCTTGTCCCTTAATGTACCCTAAATCTGCATTTGCTCATTTGAAACCATGGAATTTATCATTTTTTAATATAGTATGTTATAGAATACACACACAAAAAAAGAAGGAAACTGCTCTCACAGCGCTCCACAAAAGTTTTCATGTCCTCAGCTTCTGAAACATTTAAGATAATTAACTTGCTGGCAGGCTCCTGAGGAATTTTATGGCATCTGTGCCTGTGCTACTTATTTTAAGCTCTGTCTTCCAAAGTTATGAAATCAGAAAACTCTCTTGATTTTCTTAGTAATCCCATTTCGTGTGGTTCTGGCTTTCAGGCAGATTCAAGAATGACATAATCGTCTTTTCCCACCCACAGGTTTTGGACTGTTGCCATTGGTTACACCCTTCCCAGTAATGTGCAACATGAATCTTTGATCCTATATGCCCATAAATGGAAGACAGCCCAGCAAAGATGACTAAAACACAGTTTCTTGGCTTTCTGTTGATCACCACCGTAGGTAGAGTAAGGCTTCTTCGGGTTTTTTCCTATTGGTTAATATTACTTAGACTACAGTACAGGAATGTCAGTTCAATGTCATGGTGTTTTAAAAGGAAGTGGACTGACTTCCCAATAAATTTACTCCTGTTAGTGAAGGGAGAGCAGATATCGTGAATGTAGTAGCAGCGAATAAACAAGTTCTGCAAAGTGCTTCTTTTGTATTTGTTACTGTTATGCAATGCACTCAAAAAGTACAGAATTCTTCATTTTTGTAAAAGAAACTAGAACTTGGCTAGTATGTACTTATAAGCACTATCGCAATCATACTTTGTATTATTAACAATACTGGATTCAAGCACCAAGCTCCACAGCAACAGGATAAACACTATGGAAAAAAGGCACTTTCGAGTTTGTTATCAACATAAGAGAATTAGAACCAATTTGCAGTCCAGTCCTACTGCCCAGTCTCACAAAGCCTCTCCTAACCTCCCTGTCAGACTGTGAGAGTGTTCGCATGCATAAGAACTACAGCATGTTAGCACAGCAAAGAAAGCACAGGCTCCAGCTGCGTGCAGTGCAACGCTAAGGCACCATTGGTAAGGCGAGAGCAGGGTGCAGAACGCCTTGCCCTAGACCCCAGTTCAGACTGTCAGAGAAGGTGGCATTCCTTTGCCCTTGGAAAGTGTAATGTGCGCAGTAATGGCACAGCTCAGTCTGCCCTGGCCACTCGCTCCGGACTCACTGGTGCCTGCAGCAGTTCTGAGAAGACAGTGCCTTTATGTGCCCGTTTGGTCCATACTGGACAGCGCACGGAGACAAACCCGTCCTTCCCCTTGTACTTTCTTTCTAAGTCTAAATATTGTTTCGCCCTGCAGATGAGCTCTAATGACGACTTGATCTGGATGCCTCTGCCACCAAAAGTGTCCAGTAAAAAACACCCTTCATTTCCTAAGGACATTCATTTGCAGGATTTGTCCCCAGAAGATCTGCTCTTTACAGTTATGCTTTTCATGGTTGGTCAAGTTTTTAAGCACTGCACAGCGTCATGGCTACTTGGACCTCTTAAACTCAGGACTACTGAGAGGCATTGCTCCAGGTCAGCTTCAGGGCAATTACTTACTAATTGGAAATTAGGCTGCTGCTTTATGAGCTGTCACTGAACTGCCAGGCAAATAAAAAAAGCATGTATCATGCTCAAGGAAACACTAGTCCATGTCCAGAAGAAATGGAGAAAAATGCATCAAGTTATTACCATAAAAATAAATGACCTAACTTGAAAAGATAAAAAATATCCTGAATTCTGATTTCTTTCTCTTCTTGGCCAATGAATCAATTCTGAGAAAAAAAATACCATTAGGCAATATGAGGCAATGACTTGGCATCAGGATGTGCACTCTAAAGATAGAAGAGGAGAAGCTAGAAGGCAGAATTCTCATGGGACTTTGTTTCATGATCAGGTACACTCTTGTATCTCCACCTGGCCCTCTTCTAAAAGTTCAGTGCAAGCTGAGAGTCGTGCCTTTCTCTCACTGCCAGCAGTGTGTGATGATCCATTTGAACGGGTGTCTAGCAGGAAGAAAACTGTGAGATAGACTAGAAATGAGACAAATTGATCCTAACAGTCACCAAAGAGTGGAATTTACTGCAACAGGAATTCCATGTGCAATGGATCCAGAGGATTATTTCTTTCTCTAGGTTCTGTTCACAGTGCGAGCTACAGTAATATTTTTGTTTCTGTGATAGAAATTACCTGGCTAATATGCTACAACATTTTAAGAAAGAGATAATATGAAAATCCTATAAAATTCTCCTTTGATGCTATTAAAAAAGTCCAAGGCACTCTAACATGTGTCCTCTCAAGGCAATAGTTAAGTTCTAGGAAGTTTTTACAAATTTATCTGCCCTTTCCTGACAGAATAAAACAAAAGATTATTTAGATGGCCAAGCTCCTAAAATTTTACTAAGTATCTTTAACTCTGCCTATAATGAGATCTATTTCCTCTAGTAATGCAATTATTGTTAATAGCTGTTCTGATACCAAGAAAATCTATTCTAGCTGCAGCAGAATTGCAGTTATTTAAAAGATTAAATTTACCCATCCACATTAACATCGACATGAAAAATTTTAGTTTCTCATTAATACCGTTATACAAGCGCTTTCAAAAATACTTTAAAATCTTATACACTGTATATTTTTTTTTACTATACATAAAGACAAGAGTAGCTATGAAAGTATTCAACTTCTGCCATTATCTCATGGCAAGAATATAATAGATATTTCTCTAGAAAGACAGTATCAGTCTTTCTAAACAGATAGGTAGAAGGTATATGTCATGATAGACTGTATCAGTTGATATTTTATTTCTGGATCAGATGAAGATTAAGAATCCAAAGTGCTTATCCAACCTTCTCTAACAACCTGACCTGTGGGAATACTTGGGGTGAGTCGTCAGCCAGAACGATCACCTTGCAATGGTCAATCTTAATGCAAAACCAGAGCTTGAATTGCTGGCTAGAGCTGAGCACGCAGCACAAACATTTTCTGTGCTGAGTTTAACAACACTCACGTCCTTAGTAGGTCTGATTTTTGAAAATATTATAAAATAATATTGTAAAGAGTGTTGCAAAAAAAACCCCGTACACTTATTTAGCAGCATATTCACACAAAGGTAAAGCTGAATTTCTTTTTTAAAAATAGTGGTAATAAAGGATGATTCTGTGAGTAACACACAGTTAATCAATAGGCGGAAAATATCAGATCATCCACTCACACATCAAAACAACCCATACTGAAAACAGTACATTGTAACAAGTGACTCATGACAAATTGTACTCCGTATTGGACAGGTAAAAATGTATTTGTCAAATTAATTATAATTGTTAAAGCCATGTTCTCCTCACTCTGTTTTTAAATTTCCCTCATGTCCAGTACAAACGCCTCTGCATTTAAAAGAGTGGAATTTAGTCCTCAGATTTCAAAAGATAAAATAAAATAAAATAGAATAAAATAAGCCTTTGAAAATGTTAACATTTTAGTATTCATAATCAAAAAGACAAGATCCTGTACTAGCTATGTTTCAGCAGGTCGATGCGATGACATTTTTCATCAATGTACTATGTGCTTACAAATCTCTCTTCCCATTTAAATTTGCAATAAAACTTTTACTATCTTGGATGAGGGAAGTAAGAGTAACCCAGCCTAATGTACTGAAAATCCTGTTGCTAATTTTCAAACAGTTTAACAGAAGGAGTGTTCATGGTACCTACATCTTACTACATTATTTATTGTACTATTTGTTTATTTTTCATTTCATTTCACTGGTGACATAGAAGAGACTGCACTGTGTTGAGCTGCAACTGACATTTAAATGTTGTTTTTACACCATGTAAGATTTCTTATTTAAAAATAAATGAAAGTTTGGAAAAAATAAAAATTAAATAAGCCTCTGAATTAAATCAATTTTACTGTCAGTTTTTGCCTCATACAAATTTTTTTAAAGACTATGTCTCAGATAGAAACAAGGCTGCTTCATTCATTCATGGGCAATACTTTGGCTCCATGTGCATTTATATAAGTCAGAAGAATTTTGGACCTCCTTTCTATTACATCAATAAGCTTTTCAATTCCTTTTCTGCCTCCTTGGCTCTCCCAGTATATTTTGTCAAGGAACAAAGACTGAAGCAACTTCTCACGTAAACGCTGGCTCCTCAGCACTGAAACTGCAGATTCAGGGAATCTGGAAAAGCACAAAGAAATTTATCAGCTTTGCCATCACTCTGAATTGCAATATTTATGTTGTGATTTAGCAATCAAGTCCATGAATATAGACTGCAACTCAGCAAAGGAAGTCTATGCATGCCAAATCATATGCATGCAAATTGTATCTTTTACAGCAGTGGGATTACACATCCATTCTTAGACACATCCTGTAAATGTCTTGGTTCAATTATATCTATTCCAGTAACTTAGGGTCTCATGCTCAAACTGGGAACAAATTATTAATCTTTTTATAAAGTTAATAACTTAAAACTTACTCATTGATTCCTTGTAGTATTTTGAAGTCAAGATTGTCCTCGTTTCTGTCAAAGAAACCCTTATTGTCTATAAAGGCCAAGTGCCTTCGGTCATGCCTTCTCTGAACTATGTGTGTCAGGTCAACAGCATCCTGATCACTACATTTCAGCTTCAGTCCTTGCTGTACGCAGGAATCCTCCTTGAGAGGTTTGAATCCACAGCAGTTTCTGTCTAGTCGATTATAGATCTAAAACAAAGTAGAGCAGAGTGCCAAGTGAAAACAATATCAAAGTATTTGGGGCAAAGTGTCACTGTAAGACATTGCTCACTAACACAGCTGACAGGAAAGCAAGCTCAGGACAAGTGTAATTAAAGTCAGTGGTGAAATGGCATTGAAGACCTGGTCCCCATACTTCATGTACTGTTAGAAGCAATTTCTGAGACTGCGTATTTTATCCATTTTATAGCCATGATTTGTTATGTCAGTAGAAGTCCTTTCAAAATAATGGAACGATACCACCGTGTAACTGGAATAACAAGGTGGTGAATACAATTCTTTTTTTTTTCAGAAGGCTGTAGGTTTTTTTACATTTTCTCCACTGGAGAACAATAGAAATAGCACAGCCTGACACATGGAGGGTCTCCATTTGGTGGGACCTATTAGACTAATAGTACGCCAAATAATTGGAAAGATTAGTAAGGGACACAGCAATCCATCAGAAGCTACAAAATACAAGAGGATTTTGCGATAATCACAGAGCAGCCTCCCCGAGTTGCACTGTGGTATATACCTTAATGAAATTATGGCCTAAGCTATTTTTTCCCATGCGAACCCTCGCTTATTCTTCACACAGCACTTAGCTGGAAGGAATACATCTGGTCTAACTTTAGCGGTGTAAATGTTAAGCTTAGTCATTTATGTTCCCTTTCATAAACCAGGACAAGAACAAGGCTCCCCCAGAAGAAAGAATGCCATTTTAGGATAACCATCTAATACAGGAAGGATAAATCACTCTTTGAAAGTGCTTCTACCCATGTTGACTAGATGAGAGTAAATACAAAACATTGCCAGGGCCCTGGGTGCACAAATAGGCCCTGGTTGCCCTGAGCAGCCTCACCTGGGACCTCCACACACCCCACCTCTCCCTGTGGGCCCAGGGCACCATTTAAGCTCAGGCCTGGCACATCAGCCCTTTTCTGAGCCCTTCTGAGGGTGGAGGGTGTGTGTATCTGCTGCTTGTCCTGCTACCTGATGCTCCTGGGTTGCTGCTGGGGTTCCTGCTCCTGCCTTGGAGCTGCCTTGTCTGTGCCTGATGCTCACTGGGCTGTTAATGGAACCTGTGGTTTTCACCATCCTGCCTGCTGTGGGGCTGCCCTGCCTGCTGTGGGGCTGCCCTCAGCTCCAGCTCATCTCATCTCCCCCAGAAGCAGCCTTGCTCCTGCTGGCTGGTGCTTACAGCATGGAAGTCTGGTCTGGCGCAACTAAGGCTTAATGAGTAGTTTATCAAAGGTAAATATTTTTTTCTGTCCCTCTTTGTTGTGCACTGTTAACTCTTCAAACTGCTCTAAGCATAAAAGTATTGATGTTCACACAAGCCTTCTAAAATTACAATTTTATTTTTGTGACACAGTAAAATGAACTGTTAGGACTATTCTCCTGACATAGAGCTATGTTGCATATTGAAAAGGCCTCTTAATTTTGTTCATCAAATCAAAGCTTGAGAGTTGGTTTGTTTTTTCTTAAGTATGTAGTACTGTTGCCACCAGTCTTGCTGGCAGTTTGTTTTCAACTGCAAAAATCCTGAGGGAAGGAATAGTTTTCTCTTTTTCTTTCTCCTTTCATGAGCAGCATTCAGCATCTGCATGCACTAGAGCCCCTCTTGCTCACAGTGTTCTAGCTCATGGAATCTCACATTCAAATTATCCAAAGGATTTGCCAAAAAATGAAACAGAGACCTTCCAGACAGACTCACTTGATGTATAGCCCTAACTCATCTGCACCACACTTCATTGCATGGGTTAAATACATGAGGAGATCATGCTTTTACAGACAGCCCCTTCATAATATCTTGCATCATTTCAGTGTTAAAACAGAATGATGGGACACTCTGGAATTGATGCTGCAATCTTAATAGTTTAGCATTGTTTTTTGTCATATATTTATGTACATGAAAGGTCCAAACCCCTAAAATTAAAGAAGCCACTTTACATTTAATGTCCTTATTTTACCTGAGTTCTTGCAGAAGGCAAGTGAAGGTCAGCTATCAGCATTTTTCAGCGTGCTCCTATGTTTTATAGCATTTGAAACCAAAGATTAGGAACAGCTATTATGGGCACTAACCATTCTTCTGAGGGAAGTATGTTTAATAGGGAATACTTTTCGCCATTATTCTTTATTTCAGAATGACTCATGAAGCACAGATTTAGTTTTTTTAAACTCAGAAGACCTTCTTGGCAGTTTTTGTTTTAGCATCTTCATGTTCTACTGCTGACAAACTTGGAAGTTAAGTCTGAGAGCACCCAGATAAAATTTTAATCTTTAAGAGCCATAAGACCAACTTTCACTCACTTTCTAGTATGCATGTTCTTGCCTGATAGGCAACTGGAGATATAAATCACTCTGATACCAGCTACTATTCTAAGAGTAATTTGTTTCTTTATTTCATGTACAATTCAGTCCTGTTGGTACAGTTCTGTCCTGTTGTATCTTATTTTAACTGACAGATCCTTCTGGATAGTAGGAATTCTTTTATGAAGATTAAAAACTTGTCTTAGGAGACCTTAAAATTAGAAATCAACACAGAACTCATGAGAATTCTTAAACTGCTCAACAAGAAGACAATGGCATGAAAACATTAACCTTATGACACAATCTGTACTATTCCTACAGGGCCATTACTATGTTTAGCATCAGAATAATACACATATGACTTTATACCAGTTTCTAAGAATTACTTGTTCATAGTGGGATTAAAGATGGAGTCAGACAAGTGACAATCTAATTTTAGAGAATGTTCTGTTTAACAAGTCTGCAAAAATGTAACTAAAAAAAATTGGAAACATCCCTTCACCCTAGAACAGGACTGAGAAAGACAGGGATAGGCTATGCATAAACCAAGTCATGATCTTTATATTTCAAGAAATGTAACTCTATAAAAAGCTGAATTACATGAACAACCAAACACAGTGCATAAAACTAGTGCTTGCTGCAGTTTTAAACAAGCCAGTAAGCGCTGCAGGAGGCTCAGTCACCCGAACCTGTCTGACAGGCAAGGACAATTGGAAGTAGTGCCATATCTCAGGAAGCCGTAAAATTAGCTTCCAGCCAGGTGGTTCAGTTCAGTCCTTATTAATACAGGGAGTGCATTAATATTCTACAACACAATTGCTGTAACTGTCACCACACATTATGATACCACTGGGCAGAGCCCTAGTTTGATGTTATTTGGAGAGCTAATGATTATGTGCAATAACTAATTGAAGAAGAGCAGTCATGTCACTCATCAGTTGCTGCTCTACTCTTTCCTTACTAAGTCGCTGGCTAGAAAGAAGGAAAATCAGCCACTACAATTATCCAGATCCAGACATCAGCTGACCAAACCCACTTAAATTACTCCTGGGGACTGGGGAGGTGCAGGAAGGACGACACAGTAAAAAAAAAAAAAACCAACAGATTTACAATTGTGAACATAGTCAAGAGCTATGTTTGTTGAAACAAGGAGTCAAGGAGAAACAGTATGCCTGCCTCAAGGTGAAGTAAAACAAGATATCTCAAGACAAAAGCCTTTGCTTCCTCTTCCCCATTTCAAAAAAAGGAAATAAACTAAAATTACTTTTCTAGGAGTCCCATGTCTGTTCATGCGACTTTTGAGGCAGATAGTTGCATTCAGTAAGTGTTTTACCTGCAGAAGAAAATCAAAGAGTGCCATCTTGGACCACTCATGATGATGGATTTCGGTACAGCCCCACTCAGCTTTGGGAACTTTACCATTCTGCCAGCATTTCTGCTTCAATAGTTGCTGATATCGCCCCCAGGTTAATCTGACTGAAGAATGGGTATTATTATCTGTTGGACTCAGTGAGGAATCCCAGAGAATAACAGGACAGGCTTGACCATCTGAAAAAGGAAAAACAGATCATCAGTATAGTGTAATACTGTCAGACTTGATCATTCTTTAGATGTTGCCTAAGCATCAATAATTATACCATTTTACAGATGTGGCAGGAAAAATGCCCAGGGACTAATAACTTGACATCCTTTGGTTACTGTGGTCTTAGTCCACATCGAAAAGCGGCCACCACAGGAATGGAAGAAGCACAGACATTCTAAATGCCTTTGGTGTATGGAAGACTTTCTCTATTTGAAGAGATTCATGTACAAAATCATATACTAAACCAGACTATTAAAAAGTTTATAGGTAGATTAAGAGCCTGCAATGCCACTGTGAAGCAACAATGTAATTTCTCTCTGATTCCAGTGAACTGATGCTGATTTACAAGACCTGAAAACTTACGCGAAAGTATTTTTTGCATAATGGGCACAGAAACACTAAAAATCCTATACTCAAACTAGATTTATTTTGTTACCTTCAGTCTTTTAGGCCTATAATGTATGATTTCACAGTTCTGAAATGATATATGAGAATACTAGAGAGTGTGAGCTTAGCATGAATAAACACTTTAACAAGTTGTTGTTTGGTTTTTTTTTACCCAGATATAACATGATATCTATTTTGCATGGCAGCTACTTTGGCCAAATTCTTTAATTCTTCTGTGTAAAGAATATTCTGCTCTTCCCTGAAACTAAGTCAAGGGCCTTAGCTTTGGTGAATTCAAGTGTTCAGAGTTCTTAGTGGGAAGAAACCTTGGCAAAGAATTTAAAATGAGCTTTCCCTGTATAAGAACTGATAAATATATTTCACCCAATATCAAGTAATAGGCATATCTATCTTAGGAAAGTGGAACTCTCCTTTTCATTGCTGATGCAATGCTGCTGCTGCCTTAAACTGTCAAGGACCCAGGACTGACTGTGGCTTGTACACACATTAAAACAAAGAAATCCTTTATATTTTTGGGTGGAGACAGAAGACCAAAATACGATGTCTCAGTACAGAGAGGAGGAACCATTTAACTGCAAAGCTGCTATTTACTAAATAGCAAGTGTTGGAACATGTACAAAGCTTTAAAATTTATTTTTATTCATCCTGAAGGTCAATGAACCTAAAGTTCACACTACTGCACAATTTATCGCATATTTAAATGCAGCCTAAATTGTCTCTTTGTCTTCCACATTCCCAAGGAGTCAGAGATACATCTGAAAAGAAGCTTTCAGAAATTCGCATGAAGGCGATAAGATCCACAGCACTGCATTTGAAAAGAAGTTTTCAGAAACTTGCATGAAGGCAATGAGATCCACAGCACCTTCTCCAGAGGCAAACCAGAGAATAGCACACAGAAAACAGGTATCAGTGCCAACGGCAAGCTAAAAGCTGCCAACATGAATGCCCCATCTGTAAGCAGCAAGAACTGTTAAAAACAGATCTCCATACAGCTGAAGCAAAAAGCAACTTGTTCAAAGGATGCTGATTGATCTAAAACAACTGGTAAGAAATTATGTTTGCCCATACCTAGCAGTGAATCATGCGTAAAGATCCATCTTGTATTTGCCAACCGACCATGATAGGCCCCACACGCAATCAAGCCCACGAGAAAAACAAACTCCTCTCCAAAACCAGAATGTACTCGACCTTCTCTCTGCCACGGCTTGCATGTACAAGTTAGTCCTTCTCAAGCCAGCCCAACGTGCAGCTCCATCACCTCTTTAATTTTCCTCCCAGTTGCCCAGTGTTTCCTTAGGAACACAAAGTGTCCTTCCATTAGGAAGGTCAATCTGTCTTTCACTAGGATCAGTACTGCCTTTATAAGCACCATGCTCCTCGCTTTCCTCTGCTGAAAAGAAGTGCTGAGCACTCCTGTAAAACCAGGCTTCTCCTCTACCAAGGTGTCTTAATAAGGATTTAGGAAATTAATTTGGGAAATCCTAGCCATTGCCCCATCTCTCTTCCTCTGGCTCCATCACCTACATTGTAGATGACTTCAGCCAAGTCAAGCCAACTATTGGCTAACCTTCTTTTCCTTGGAGAAAGTCTGTATAAGCATTGGGAGCTGTCATGAAAAAGGACAGCTTTCTTCAGGACCAGCTCTGATCTATTATTTTTACATTTCCAACAACAGCTTATGTAACTCCTCATGAATTCTTCCACAAACCAAATACATAAATGGTCTTCTAACAAAACAAACATCTCCTGTCTACCCAAAAGGGACATGATAAACAATAGTAATATAAATACTTAAAATATGTGAATAATATCTTGCCAGTTTCCATTAAGATACAAAAACATTTTTAAAAGCCCAAGGCTAAATACAGGAAATGTTTGCATTTCAGAGGAAATGGGAGCAGAAAGATGAGCCAAAATAGAATCTTTCAACTTTGTAATATAAATTGAATTACAGGAATATGAAACGGCAGCTTCAGTAAAGAGCAGTGACTCAAATTTTTGACACTTGTAGGAAAAACATGAAGATGCTGAATTAAAGCAGATAAGGGGTCTGAGTCATAGCTGCATGAATTGGCATGACCCCACTGAAATCAGTGGAGCTCTTCTGATTCACACCTCGTGAGGATGGGGCTGAAGTCAACTGAATGGTGAAAAGTAAGGCCTGACTAAGAATCAGAGCTTCCAGTTTGATACAGCCAAAGCTGAAGACATGTCAGAATACGTCCAGTGTGTTCTGCATGCACTGTTCCTAATCAGCTTTATATATAAACATAAAGGGCTACCACTTTTCTATTGCTGCAGCTGGGTTGCACTAAATCCTACCCAAAGCTGACTGACTTTTCATCTGCCATTTTAGATTTACAGATCTACTTAACTATCTAAAGATGATCTGCAAAATTACATGGGAAAGATTTTTTTAAAACTTGTGTTGGAACAGCTTCCTAGTAATTCATATAGATTTTTAAACATCAAGATATTTCTAAAAATTTCTTAGGCCCTTTGGAGCTACTGTCCCAGGATATCCTAAGTTGAATAAGCTAACACAGATGAAACCTCAGTCTGCTGAGATTAGACTACCTCAAGGTACTCAAACTGCTTCATGTGAAGGTAGGTAATTTATCACTGCATGGCTTCTTCAACATAGGCATCATCTTAGATATCCACACCACTTCAAAAATAGTCTGTATGCTTCATGACCACAAAGATGCTCTTGCAAAGGTTACTCTTCCATCTTGTGCTCTAATTTGTATCTACAGCACTTTTTCTAACTTCCTCAAAAGAAAATATTTTCAAACATGCCCATGAAAGCATCACTAAAAAAAACAAGTCTGTCATGAGGTAGTTAAAGCCCTTTCTCAAACTCCTCACTGTTCACTGTAAAGCAGTACAGCTTACCACTGATGCATTTGAAAGAAACATGTACTATCAGGAGAGGATAATTAGTGTAGAAAGATGAGAGGGGTGGACATACAGAGCATGACTTGAATTTTAGAGCTTAAGATTAAGTTCCAAGGAAAAATATAAGGGACAGAAGCAGAAAGCAGGGAGAAATTGGCCATTTATTTTTTCTTTCTTCCCTCTGCACCTTATTTGCAGTGTTTGTCCTGCACTCATATGGATGTCAGAATTAAGGAATGCATGAAATGTGCGTCAGCTGCTCTCTGGACTATGGACTGCATTATTGACTATACATGAACTTCTCCGCCCAACAAAATATTGGAAATATGCCCTCTGGTACCCTTCTGAGAGGTACAACACTATGGTATAAGTTGTTTGGGTTGATAGAAAACAGGACAGATAAATTGAAGCATTTTAGAGCATTCTGAATGCATAAGGCAGCGTTAGGTGTTTCTTACTCTTTTCCCTGACATTAGCAGTTCACACTGTCTTTGCCTGCTTTTGCATAACTTCTGGTGGGATGGCAAGGGTGGGCTGATAGTGCAGGGTATACCAGGGGAAAACCTATGTCTCCATTTATCATCATGTAGAGGACAGTAAAGGAAAATGACAAGTACAACCAGCGGAGCCATTTATCACACGTCATTCATCTATTTGTACTAAACCAACCATGAAAGATGTTACTCAAAAGAAGAGTTTCTTCCATGTTTTAAGAAAAAAGTGGTTCTGGATAAATTGTGGGTTCAATCTTTAGCTAAAAAAAGCCCAACTGAACTAGTACACCTTGGCTTATTCTTCTCAGCACAGGATGAAACATATTTAGCCAAACATATCAGAAGACCGGGGGTAAAAGGGCTGGTTGTCAGGCCCTCAGCAAGTAGCGCAACAACATTTCATAGCAATAGCTGTGTATTTCGTATCAAAAGCTGAGTAAAGAGCTCAGCCTTGTTGCTAGAACCCAAGGAGCCAGAGTCTTATCCCTACAGCTGCCAGCTGCAGCACAGGAGCAAGCCTGCTCCAGCCCATGTTACTCCAGTGGTAGCTCAAGCCCTAACAAACACTGACATCGTCCTACCCTGCAAATGCTGAGCTAGAGGCGATACATGCAGTCATTTTACTTCTGTGCAAATTAAGGTAGAGCTGTGACACCAAGCCAGTCACTTAAGTCTCTCCTGTTCCTCAGCTTAGGGTGATGATAATGAAGATTCTCAATCCTGCAGTATTAATGTGACCATCCCAAAACTCAGACACACAAGGCTCAGCCTCCGTTTTCTCCACAATAGACACAGTTTTATGATTATTTCTTGGTGTTTTACAGGCTTATCCTTCTGTCTTTATAGGTGTTTTGGAGCTCTGGACATTTTTCACGCATTGTAGACAGCAATGGCAGTATTGAATGACTGCTTGCATATGCCCAGAATCGTGCTCTTTTAGTCTAACACTGAACTCAAAAGGGCTTTGCCCAACTGTACTCCCCAGGCTTTTTACATTTGGCCAATTCATTGCAAAAAATATGAGTGAAAGAGTTATCATACCTAATTTTTCCATCCATGAAGGAAAAAATAAGATAATCTATAAAAAAAAAATCACAGTTAACACTTTAAAGGTTTTACAATTAAGTAGGGAAGGTAACGGCAGCAGACAGAGGACTTGCATACAGTATTTTGCTAGACTTTAAAAAAAAAAAAAAAAAATCAGGGGGGATTAGTGGGAATAGGGGAAACAGAACCTGCACAGGGATTTACTAAGCAGTGCTTTGAAACTGCTTTTGACAAAATGAATGACGGTTTTGAAAAGCCCATTTTTTAAGATTTTAATGCTACATCAAACATGTCTTGTTATATCACATCACAACTGAAGCAAGCTAAAGGGATGTGTCAGAGAGAGAGAGATGTCAGCCCAGAAATTATGTACATTCACACATGCACAGTCTCTTATCCTGCATTGCTTTCTTTCCCGTATGAATAACCATGATTCACACAAGCCGCCCTGTAAAAAACTTTACAGCACCCACCTAATCTTAATTTAAATGCATACAGGTTACAGAAATGATCTCACTAACTGTTCATATTATTTTTAAGGCTATATTTTGTTCATTATCTCAACACAGATGTTTTCCAGATTATGCCAAACACAATCACGTAAATAGTAATGAACTCAAGTAGATATTAGGCATCTGAGCTCCAGAATATTTCAAGGCTAAAGAAATGGAGAGAGACAAGGTAGAGTAACTGTTCCAAATGTTCTGTTCACCCTTTAGCTGGAAAAAATGAAGTGGGACCAAAATAATGCTATTTCTCTTCTCATCACCTAGCAACGCTCTTCATGCTACAGGAACATTGCCAGTTATGAGGAAAAGAAAATTAAAGAGGGCAGAATGACTGTCTCTGTCCCAGACAGTCCAAAACATACTGTAAGTGACAGACACTGAGCGACACAATGCACAATTAGCCTAATAGCAGTTCTCAGAGGCTTGCAGTCTGTCATCTCTGCAGCCACACCGTGCTGCAGAGTTCCTCCAACTGAACTACCTTAATGCCTTATGACAGCTCTATAGCAATAAATCTTGTTCCTAAAAATAAACTAGGCATAATGTATCTTCCATGCTCTGCAAGTATGAATAATATTCTGAAACCTCCAAACTGTTGTTCCTAGAGATTCATTCACGCTGTTGTACAGGCTGCTGAAGGAAAGGTTTACAAAGCAGGAAGGAATCAGAGATCACTGGGTCATCTTCCTGCTAACAGACTTTACAAAGTCATTCTTGCATTACTTTTTTTTAAGAAACTAAGAGCGATATAAAAACATTTTGTATAAGCTCATTTCAGCAGCAAGAAATGAACAGCAAAAACACAGCTTGCCACTTTAGCAATGATGCATTAAAATGCAATGTAGTTCTTCTGGATTGTGATTTGTGACTCTACAAAAATAGCAGTTAGGCTGAAGGCATATTCAGCAAGATAGCAATGTTAGAAATGAACTTACTTCTAACTCACATTACATGTCTGAAATCTACCTTTAATTTCATGAAAGGATAAAAATCATTTTTTTTATTTAAAACTTTATACCTATCATGTAACAGGCATATTGAAATATTTACTGTGTATATTTTTGTCTGCATAATATATAGATGTGTGTAATGAACCTGAAAATATACAATAGGATTCACTGAAATGTAGTTTGTTTGGTTTTTTTTAATTACCAGGGAAGAGGGAAGCACTTTTTAAATTTTTTCAGTTCCCAGAGGTATTAGTACCATGAAAGTAGCATCAAGCTTTTACAGGAAGTCCCTCTACCTCTCTGAGTAGGTTATCTGACTAAATACAAACCCTCTGTCCTACTACCTGAGAGGTGAGTTCTTGTGCTCACTTTCAGCAATATTTTATTGAATTAAAATCTAAAAGATGAGAAAACTTAAAAAAAAAAAAAAAATCAGAAATACCCATTGAATCACAGGGTATTCTGGAATTTCTTCCACCAGTTTCACTTCAGGCAGTCTGTACAACGTCATGCAATCTACGGATCACTCCCTCTTTTTTTCTCATTCCAGACTCTCATGGAAGAGAAATTGTTACTGCCCTCAGAAGCTCAATGGTATGTGATCTAAACTTTGGGGCACTGCATCCTTCAAACAGGATAATTGCACTGCAGAAATTACACACAGATACCAGCTTTACTTCCCTGTAATGATGGGGTTAGTTCTCAGGCCCGCACGAGTTAAAGGTGGCTGCTGCGCTGCGGTTAACACAGGAGGGGGAAAGAAACCTCAGCATCCCACCTGCAAGCTGAAAGCCATAGGAATGTGTTACCTTGGAAGAACTCGGATCTCCTGCTTACAGAAGGTAAGCTCCTGTTCAGCCCCAAGATCCTATCCAAATGAAAGGCAAACACCTCACTCATGTCGAGAGGTCTTTTGACGATGCCACAGTGTCCCTGGTCACAAGCAGTTCCTGTGGCGCTGGGACCCCCTGCAAAAACTACCAGGACTGCTTTGTGAGAAGGTATTTCTTGGATGCTCTCTATCTGAGAATCTGCCAGCATGCGCATGTTTAGGATGTCTTCTTTGCTCAGCCAAGAGGGAGAGCTCTCGCTGTAAATCCTGATATTGCTTTCCTCAGGCTGGGGCTGTGCCTTTATAGCTCCAGAAATGCCCCCAGGTCTCCGGTGGCCCCTCTCCCTGATCGCCATTCTTTTATGCCTGTGATCATCCATTTGGTGCTTTCTCGCCTCCAGAACTATTGCTGTTCTCATTGTGCCCGCAGCACGTGTGGCCCTCCCCAGCTGTTGGGCAAAGGCCTCTTCCCGGCCCATAAAAGCGGCTTTTGGAAAGTGTTTCCCATAGGACAAAGCGGTTGCATGTTTCTTCCTGCGCTTTGGCTTCACTGTGCCTCTGATATTGGCAGGCTTGCTGCGCTTGGACCGCAGGGTGATATAAACTACATTGGGTGGCAGCAAGGTCCCATTGCTACCAAGGTGGGGTTCCTGGAAATTGGGTGGTGACAGGGTGCCATCCAGTGGGATGCCCAGAAAAGGAGTTTGGGCTGCATCTTGGAGACTTCTGGAACTGATCTTTTGGTATCCTCTGTGCTGGGGTAAAACATGACCCACTTGACTGACGAGGAATCCCAGGTAGATCACACATGCGGTGCCCACAAGCAGATTCCTCCTTGTCCTTGGGCGCCTGCAAGTCCAAAGTCTCAGCACCCGTGGGGGGCACAGGCAGCAAATAAACAAGTTTTTGATTTTACTGGGCTGATCAAAGGTGGTCATTTCTCTAGTGAATCCACATGATGAAAAGAGCATAAAGTCTTCCGTACTTTCCAGCCAGGATGATGATGCATGATTTCCCTTCCCCAATTTCTATTTCTCCTTTTCCAAATAGCTTCCAGCATGGGTGATGGACAGAGGCTACTGATATGCCTGGGAATGTGTTTAGTACTAAGGATGCCAACACTCCACCTTCTCAAGCCGTTAAATTCTTATCAGCCACCACAAGGGAAGTGATTGGCTTCAGAGAATGAATGGAGCCAGCTACGTAAGCAAAGTTTACTGACTTGTAGTCTAAACTATCTGAAGTATCATCTCCTTTGCAAACTGCAAAAAGAAAAAAGTAGTAGCATTTCATTACTTACATATTGCATCTGTGATTCTCTATTTTTAAGAGACAGAAGTTCTAGATGAGACAGTATGCATCTAGAAATTTGTCAGTATACATCTTTCACTTTCTCACAACAGTATAAATTAAACACCAAAGTAATGAAATACAGGCTCAATTTGCAATCTCAGCTAGCTGTAATCCAGCATTAGAAGAACCCAGATCATTATCATCTTTTTCTTATGAGACAAAGTCTTCACTAAACCTCATGTTATGGAAGTGCTGTAAATTATACAATATTAAATACAAGTAACTGTAGCAGTTAAATATGCATATATTTACTAATAGAAAAATATATTAGCAGTGCCATGTTTCCCTATCTGAATATAAGTACAGTTCACATTCATAAACAGACGTTAAAGATGAAAGATGGTCAATTCTCCTCACTCTTGTGAAGCCATAAATAGGATCTAGCTATATTTTTTAAAATAAAATGACAGTGGCTTATATATCCTTTCAAAGAAACAAAGATATAATAAGTGCACATTGTATATATATTGTTATAAAAATATAAAATCTCTTACCTATTCAGCTTGACACATCCTTTGTTCTGGTAAACTCCTTAGGTTAATAAAAGTAACTTAGAGCTGACGTTCTCAAAGTATTCTAGCACATATTTCAGTTTTAAGTATGGTTCACATTTAGGTATTTCATTGCAAGCTAAATACTGTTTGGAAGCTAACCGTATTGAGAGGTGGCTTGCATTTGAACTGCTATAAACTTACATGAACTTCACGTTATTAAAAAAAAAAAAAGCAACCCAAACCAAAAAAACCCCAGCAACCCCCAGCAACTTCTATTTTAAATTCTGTCATGAAAAGTCCTGTGAGGTATGCGCCTTCCAAAAGTGCATTCCATCCATTTCTAACTCCTGAGGGCCCTCTAGTGCACTGCATGCATATGTACTGAAGAAATTCCCATTTTCCACCTTTTCTAAAATTTAAAATAAAAAAGCCCTTCTGAATTTTAGAACATTTGGGAATCATATGTTCTTGTAATGAGAAGTTAAAAACAGATAGTGGCTTTTAAAATGCTATTAACGTGCTATTAAACAGCTCAGGAGCCTTTCGTATTTGTGCTTTCCAAAACAAGGCAGAGCGTAGTCACTATACAGATGGAAAAGCTGAGGCAGGGAGAAGTTAAGGGCTTGCGCAGAGTTAGCTGTGAGACACTGGCAAAGCTCTGACTTTTGACTCCTCGCCTAGTCTAAGTACAAAATAATAAAAGTTATATGTTCACTGTCATTCAAGCTAATGAAGATATTCACTTCTCCGTAATTAATACTAAGGGGAATAGACAGTTAAGGAATTGGTTTATGTTCCAGATGGGTCCAATGTGAATTTATAAAACTTTGTGAGTGGATTTTTTCACTGGCCATCACTTTACTTTTTGTCAAAATGTGTACTATTAAGATTTCAACATCTGTGTCTGTTACCAGGAAAAGAGGCTTCATATCATCTGCTTTTTCCAAATCTGAGTTCTTGGAGGAATAGGATTTGTAAGAAATCTCTCTGGCCACTTAAGTTCTTCTCTCTCTTTTTTCTTTTTTTTATTTTTTTAGTTCAAATTTGACTGAAGGGACATATGCCAAAGAAAGAAGATTAATTCAAAAAGCTCCAGATAAGTGTATCAATAAAGTCAGTACAGATGTGGCTACTGCTGCTTAACATTTTTTATACTTTAAAGAAGTTGCCAGAGATGGACATTATTAAATCAGCCGTAGATGCTTGAGGGTCCCTCTGAACGATGGAGGGTCATTAGTGAGCGGTTCCAGTTTTGCAGCCCATTTGACCAACAGACACCATACATGGCTGACAGTGAGAACGGCCTCCTGTATCCTTTTTAATAATGGTGTAAAGTGAGTGCAAAATATCAGCAAAGTTATATGGATAAAACCAGGGCAAATAAGGGTAACTGGGTATTACAGCCTGAGTGCAAAATTTCACCCATAGCATATTTACCCGTACTCATGAAAGAATTTTTTGAAATGTCTAAGATAAGCCCCCCACTCTAAGGATAAATAACAGAAAGTAAACAGATCTTTTAATTGCACCTCCTGGATTCTGTTTTGACTTACCGCTTTTTTTAACAGCAAATAATTCAGCATGAATCTTTTACCCCACTATATTTCTTCCAAGTGTCTTAGAATGACTTTGGATTTTTTCACTTTGTTTCGCTAATGTCACAGTGTTCCTGAGTTAGAAACGTACCACAGTGCAACAGTTGTTTTCAAATGCCCAGTTCTTGCATGCAGACAGCACCATGACTTGTCCGTTATAATCAAGCAGAGCCGAAACACAGACCATTCCAGGTGCTAACAGCTTTCCTTTGTTATGAACTTTCTCTTAAATTTAAAGTTTGGAGCCTATATAATCTTCCTACTGCAACTCTCTACAGATTATCTGGAGGAAATGATAAAAGGATATGGAGAATTGTTCTTCACTCCTCATTTCATTTGTAGCCTTGCAATTAAAATGTAGTGCACCCACTGATGTACAGTGTTGACTGCTGCGGGGGTTTTTAAGGCTTTCTAAATGTGATGATAGCAATATTTCCTTTATTTTTCATGTTCAGAGAGGAGAACTCATTCTTTAATTGATGCCCCATAACATTCTTTGGACTGGAATTCAGCTAAATATCTTGTTATTTTAGCAGATATTTGCCTCTAGTTTTGGATCTTTAAAAGCTAAAACATCAAGACACATTCTTTTTTTCAGCCCTCGTGGTGTACAGCTCCAGTGCCCCACTAGATTTCACAAAATAATGAAGGCTGGAATGGCTATGGACTAGTTCAGAAAGCAAACACTTCTTTGTGTTTCAGGAAAGACAAAGAAAATATTTGTTGTTCAGGTGAGTAGTAGTAGTATTCTTTCTGGAATCATTATTAACCCAAAGTTGCAGCAGGGCATTACTGAACTGAAAGGGTGCTTCCTCTGTGATCATAAAACATTTAAGACCAATTTTTTTGAAAGAACAGACTAAACAATGCTAGTTGTCTGACCAAATTCTGGCCTAGGTTATTGCACTTAGCCTGTAATGTCAGTTAGATATTTATTCATATTTATTCCTTGCTCTAAACTCTATGTGTGGTATTGCCATCTGCAGCCATTAAACTCAACTTCTCATGCATTTCTTATATACCCATGTTTCATGACCAGTGTTATCCCTTCCTAAGTTTAGGAACACAGGAATATCAAGACTAATATTGGAGAATAGCAATGAATGGAAGAGGGGAATTTAAGAAGTATTTTCTAGTCCTTGTCATTCCTAGGTATAGTTTGAAAATGTAAATGAATAGCTGGATTTGCAATTATTTTTTTTTGTTTGTTTGTTTAACTTCTGAAATTCATCTTGACCTGTACCTGCATTGCAGAAGAAACTAGATCAACCTGTATTTGCAGGAAGGACTGTCACCCAGGGTGCTGCTGATGGTGCTGGATAAGCAACAGACTCTGAAGCAGCTGGCAGAGCCAGCACTGCCGCCAGCCTTCCTAGCAGACAGTCTCTGGCCAACGTGCAGGCAGTGCAAGCAGCACGAGCAGCATCCCTGAGCAGCAGCATCCCTCTGCAGGGGAGGGGTGGACTGAGCCAATGACCACCAGTCACAAGCTCCTGCATCTTGACTCGTGCTTGCAACCTCAAAGAGCTCCATCCAGTTACTTCAGTGCTCTGCTCCATTTTCAAATCTCTGAAGATGGGAAGATGATAGGAACCCATTTTTCAGGAAATAACAAAAATTCACTAATGCACCGGAAAGTTCTCAAAACTTCCTGTTCACAGGGTTTACACATAACTCATCCCCCCCTATGCAATCTCCTGTAGCCTCTCACCTTCGCATCCTTCTTAATCCTACCAAGTACAGATTCTTCCTTCTCATCTGAATTATTATTCATACTCCTTTTTTACAACTTCTTTTGTAGGTTAATCTTCCTTTTTTAATTTAGCCTAAGGACAGCCTTTTGGGATAGTGAATGCTACAGCTGGAGAATTAAAGAAAAACAGAGAAAACTATTAGTAACAAGAGTGCTACAATATTATTATCATTACAAAAAGGTACCTAGCAGCTAGTATGTTTCTCTGCAAGTTCTCCAGTTTGTATTTTTAAACCAATACATCTCCTATTTCTTCATCTAACCCTTCCTTCTTGCTCCACTCAGTCATTTCAGTGTTAAGAGATGTGGGATTTAAAGATGCTTATTTTCATAGTTTTCCAAGATGTCTCAGTTTGGTTCTCCCCATTGTAGCTATGACTGCAGAAGTTGCTGTGATTCAGCAAAGAACAAAATACCGTCTGTGCTGGTTTGTAGAGCATTTTGCAACAAAAGACGCTCTTTAAGTGGACACTTGTTATATTTGTAGAAGGCTCTGAAATTTGAAATGCGAATGTTGCCATTTTCCATTTTAGTAAATATTGTGCATTCATGGACTTCCTTTCCCATATACTTTTCATCTCCAACAACCTAGGATTTCAGTGAAACCAAACAGCACAAATTAATGAATCAGAATCTGTCCATATTCGAGGTGTTTCATTTGTACCATCGGTGTCATTTCAACCGTTGTGTTGATGAGAAAAACAATGCTCCAAAACCAGCATGGTTTGAATAAATAGTGAGAAGTAGATGAAACAGTGAGGAATAGGTGAGTATTG